GCTCTGCATATAGACCTATTAGAAGAACTCATTTCTTCTGCTGATTAACACTTCAGAAATGGTAAATAAAATTAGTCCTGATAAGTTAATAGAAATTATTTGTCCAATGAACAATCATCAGTCAGATGCCTTAAAAGAATCTCCATGCAATATTTAGAAATACATTCTGTGCAGATATTAAATTCAGAAAATATATGGGGTATTTGTTTTGAAAATGTTGTTTTCAAATGCTCTCTTTCTTGCCTGTTTCTTCAAACACAGTACTTACATAGATTTTATTGGCATTCTTAGAGACAAAGGCTTTAGAACATGTACTCCTTGCCTTTTGACAATGACAGCAATTTTACAATAATTGAAAGATGAGTAAATATGTCTGCAGACATTATTCAAAGGAATGATGTAACCATATGCATACCTTTGAACTGCTTCAAGAAAGCTTATTATCATGAGTCCTTTATGGGACTGTTTTCTGCTGCACTGGAAACAATGCTAGTTTTGCCCAAATTACCAGGTTCAGTACATTTCCTCTTTTATTTCTAACTTGATAATGGCTTTCTAATGAAAGAGAGAGAGCATGTTCTCTAAGAATAGAACATTTATATTTATAATGGCCTTTTCTCCCCCCCCCCCCAGAGAGTAAGTTAACTTGCATCACTCTCACTGTAGATCCTCCCTACTTTGAATATTTAAATATTATTTCTCACAAAGATAAAAATGAACACAAGAAAAGCAAATAAATAAGCAAAAATGATTAAATGCTTAAAGTCTAAGAGTCTAATTAGCTTTCAGTGGCTGACTGGATGCCTATGGGAATCAACATTCCCATCTCCTCATGGTTCTTTATCAGATTGCATAAATTTGTGTATACTTTCCTTAATATACATGTTTGTGGGTTTGGAGTTATGAATCAGGTCACAAAATTGAGATTAATATAGTATTTGATACAGAAGGGCATTCTGGTAGCAGGTACCAAGAACTTCCCAGTTGTGTGTGTGTGTCTTCAAGTCACCTATTGACTTATGAATTATGTCCATTTCATGAAAGTCTTAGGATTGTCTTAGACAAATTCCCAGTTAGACTACTGTAATGCACTCTGTGTTAGACTACCCTTGAAGATGACTCAAAAGGCACAGCTAGTGCAAAAAAAATAACAGCAAGATTGCAAGCTAGGATGATATACAGACACCACAACATCAGTCTTAAAGAAACTGCACTGTCTGCTAGTTTGCTTCCACATTGAATTCAAGGTGTTAGTAAAAACATTCAAAACCCCACACAGCTTGGTGCCTCGATACTTGAAGAAGCAGTTCTCCTTGTATTTGTCTGACCAATAGAGATCTGCTCGAGGGTCTTTATACAGACCCTGGAGTATAGTAAAGTAATCATTATCACCCAGATGTTATTATAGTATATTGATGAAATTTTGCAGAGTCATCATCACCAAGTGATTTTTTCTTTTCCCAAAAATGAAAAATCTGTTGTGGGGTCATTGATTTGACAATACAGCTGACATCATTCATGAAGTAGAAGAGTGGTTTAAGGCGCAATCTGCATACTTCTACAATAACGGTATTCGTAGGGTTAAGAAACACTGGGGAAAATGTGTAAATCTGGATGGTGACTACATAGAGATAAGTCAACAACTACAAATCAAAACAAACTTTCTGTCAAAAATGTTTACAGGTGATAATTAAAACTTTACAATACCCCCTCGTACAGCAGGAAAGAAAGGATCTGAGAAAAAGCCTTTTGAGCTGTGGCATTCTACTTGTGGAATGACCTCCCCTTAGAGTCATGATAGGTGTCAATGTTCTGACAATGTGTTCTGAAAATCTGTGGGCAACCAAGAGGAAGTATATTTAGACAACACTCCCATAATGCAAATCTATCTTGCCTAATTATGGCTAAATTTGCACTGAATAAATAATGCAGTTTGACACTGCTTTAACTATCACAGCTCAAATGCCTGGGATTTGTAGTTTGTTGTGGCACAAGAGCTCTTTGAAAGGGAAGGGTAGCTATCTCACAAGACTACAAATGCCAGAATTACATAGCATTGAGCCATTGTATTTAAAGCAGTGTCAGACTGCATTATTTCTGCCATGCAGATTTAGACCTATGTAAGCATAAACATTTAATAGTATCAGCAGGACAAACAAAACACCTTATTTATTGGGCTTCTGAATGTTGTTTTCCCCCCACAATAAAGTAACAACAGCTACTAGTCATAAAACAACAGGGTCATGGAAATTATTTCCTTTGTTACATGTAAAACATCCCAAGGAAGGTTTGTCTACATTGAAAAGTCATACTGAATGCAAAATTCTTCCCATTATAAAAGAATTGGGCTTGGACTGGGACTGAATTAGATTTTGAATATTATATAACAAAAAAGAGAGATGATATCTTAAACAGGTTTTACAGTCCTTGGATCTATGATGTCTCAGTCCTTTGTGGAAGGTTTTTGAGTTCTGGATAAATTAGATAAACTTGAATGATATTTTGTGGTCATTTTACTCCTGTCTTTGGAATGAATATTTTCTTTTGAAGCTCTGAAAGATATCTGAAGATGAAGTAACAATGAAACAGTTCTGATTGATATATAAAAATGCAATCATAAGTATCAACTCTAGCCAAAGATAGGGTAAGCTCTCCTTCAACAAGAATTTGTAGTGGTACTGTATGCCAGAAGGTGCTTATGTATAATTTTTCATCATTGTTTTTCTTTTGTACATAAAAATCCTTCTTGTTTTTATCACAATCAAAGAGTTTCCATGTCTTAACATCAATGAGAAGGGACAGGCAGGAGGGCAAATCAGAATATTCTAATACCCTCCAGTGAACTTCAAGCAATCACCTTCCTTTAAAAAAAAGGTGGAAGCTGACTGAAAGGCTGTACAGACTGGTCAAAAGGCATCGGGATGGAGTGAGGGGGTGTCGATCGCATGCCGCACACCTCTGCTCCACTCCAAG